GAGAGAGAGAGAGAGAGAGAGAGAGAGAGAGATTTTTAATGTATAGGTCCTTTGGATCAATTTTTGGTTGTGCGTTGAGGATAACAATTCTTTTTTTCGTTTTGGTATTTTTTTCCTTTTTTGTTCTTTTTTTTTTCATATTGCTTCATGTTTGCGTTCTTGCGACGAACATCTGTGTACTAAACGACCTCCTTCATGTGAGGGCGGGGGTGTTCGTCGTTGAGGGGGTGTGTTTCAGGGGATACTACTCAATGACAGCACGTGTGAGGGAAAACGGGATGCGAAAGCATTAATCCCGTGAAGGCATCCCCTTCAGCCTGCCCCCACTCGCGACCACATCACCGACCAGTAGACGGCCCCTGTTCCGTACCGCCGAACGGTGCCTTCGACACGTGCGCCTTCGCTTTATAAACTTCGAGGGCGCCCATCCACCGATCAGAGAACACAGCAGTCCACTTCACGCACTCCTGGCGGCGTTGTCGCACGGCGCATTGCAGGGCAGTCGGCATCACGCTGGGGCAGGCGACACGCCTACTTCCTTTCAGTCGGACGCCGCCTCGGTCATCGTCGCCAACTGCGCCTGGACACCTCGTTGACACATCTCCAGACGTCGTGTTCGTCTTCGTCGCCAAATTCGCTTGGACACGTTGTCGTCGTTCCAACTTGCGCAGCGCGCGTCTTCGTGGCTGTTCGACAAGGCGTCGTTGCGGCGAGCGCGTGGCAGCCAAGTCGTTAGTGTCGCCGTGAGATACTCGTCGTCCGCGCGTCTGGCGTCTGTTCACTCCTCTGCAGATAGCGGCAGGTTGTGCGGCCTTCAGCAGTCTCCTCCACCAGCCGTCCGCCATCGACGTCGTTCGTCTTCACAGCGATGATGAATACACACAACGCAGCGAAGGGGAAAAGGGGGAGGGAGTCTAATCAGGGCGAAGTTGCTACCGCCGTCAAGCGGGGGAGGCATCAGGCGAAGAAGGCGAAGGCCTCAGGCGGCGGCGCCCTGGTAATTGGCAGGTCCGCGCGGGAAGAGTGGATCACGGAGGCCAGCAACGAGGACGACGACGATTTCGAATCGGAGGCGGACACGTTTCATGGCGTCAAAGGGAGCTTGTGCGAACAAACCGCCGCGCGAATGATCAGCGGAGATGAAGGCGGCAAAGGCGGCAACAAAGGGGGGCTTGGGGTTGCGCGTGGCGACAACGACGCAGGGGGCGACGTGGCAGCCGGTGCTGCTGGTAGGGACGATCGGGGCCGGCAAGTGACCCCGACGATGCGCAACCCCGTGCAAGCAAGGGACGTCACCGCGCCGCATGACATTGGCAGAGAGCAGCCGCTGCGGGCGTCGTCGACCCAGGCGACGCCAGCAGCGGGACACGCGAGAAGGGAGGTGGGGGCGGCGGTGACTGCAGCAAGCAGGCCCCAGCCCCCCGTGCGCATTGGGACGAAGGATGTCGTGGCAGTGGGTGCCATTGCTGGCACGTCGACGGGGGGAGCGGAGGGAGGCGGGGGCGACGACCGTGATGTTGATGATGACGACGATCCGCTCATGAACAGGCAGAGGCGATCGGGAGGCTTGGCGGCTCTGGAGACGAAAGCACAGCTGTGGGTCCACGATCATCGTTTCTAGAACGAGACGGAGGGGCATGGGCTGGTGAAGATGATACAGGAAACTAGCATGCACCTCGTGGCCATCGCGAAGGGTGTGAAGCCACCGGAGATCAGAAAAAGCATCGTGCTGCCCAACTCCACGATCCCTCTGCAGAAGATGGAAGACGAGTCCGAGCTGCAGGCCGCCAAGGAGAGGGCTGGGAGGGTGCAGACAATAGCGTTGCGCATCATCCACGGGTGGCTCTTCAAGTCCCCCAATCGCGCACGCGGTTATCACTGCGCGTACGGCTATGTGCTGAACCACGTGGCCACAGACCTGGGTCGCGCCATCTGGTTGGGAGAGGACTGGCGTGTTTGCATCAGTCCCGCGGGCGTCCACAACACTTTGGAGGCTCGTATGAAGCTCCCCATATGATACGTTGGCGGCATCATACACGACAAGCACGAGGAGGACGAGTTGGCGTCGTATCAGGAGTCCACAACGCAGCGTCTCGTCGGAGCTTTCACTAATGTTGTGGATGTGGGGGAGGGGGTGGACGGCAGTTGGATTTCGTACGAGAGGTTGAGGAACGTCGCGGACTGCATGCGCCTTTTGTTGTCTGCCGCCATGTGGATCATGCGGATGGAGGGTGATAATCTGCGCTCATACTACGAGGCCTCCCATCTGATGGAGCTAGTCGCGAACCCCACGCTCATTGCGTCGCTTCATCGCTCGTTCGACGCGAGGCGCCATGCTCTGCAGTGCGTGAATGTCGTGACAGAGAAAATGGGAAAGCCCCCAATGACGTTGGTGGACTCTCCGCTGTACATCCCCGACTGGGTTTCGTGCGGGGTGTCTTTCAACAACGACGCGACGTTGGCGTCTCCCGATCTCACCAGGAGACTGGATTGGATGGGC